GCAGGGCAGTAGCAGCCTCCTACATCTGTTTGAAAAGGTAAGTCAAATGCCAACTTTCTCGTCGGCTGTACAAGCTGCATAGTGTATAAACACTTTTATATATAAAGAAAATCAATCTCTACCTTCCCTGTAATGAAGTCTTGGGACAGAAGGGAGGACCAGCATGCATACATACCCAAGCATTTATGTACACAAGCGATGGGGTTTAATTTAGCTGCTATCACTGACATATTGTAGAGTCACTGCAGCAGATTTGTAGTCATGAAAAATACAAAACAAGGTGTCATTATCTGAAGGGATAAAGAATAAAACATGCTTTACTGTACAAAATCGAGGCACTTTTTTTTTTTTTTTTTAATACTGGTGTGTGTGTATGCGTGATTTAATTCTCCCCTCTGCACACAGCCATTCTGAAAAGGCTCTAGAAGTACCGAGGAGCATGACAGGTATCCAGGGGTTGGTCTGGCTCTCTGCAGGGAGAGACTAAACAGACTTAACGGGCTGGAAAAGATAACGGAGGCAAAATGCGATGGCTTTATAGACTGCTGTGAATGGCACAGAAAGGTGACTGAGGAATGCTTAGTCACTAATTTTTGCAAGGTAAGGAGTAGGGACATCAAAGGGAAGCACCAGACAGAAACTTGAAAGCAAAGGGAATTAGTTGGAACTTGTTGGCAGAAAATGTAAATGGGGAGGGGGGAAGTAATAGGAAAGGAGTGGGGGGAAAACTCATGAAGGCTAGATCTTGCAGAGTTTTATTGGGTGTGCTGAAGGATCTCAGACCTGTGGAAATGTTCCTTCTTCCAGCATCCCCTCCCAGCTCTTCAGTGTCTTTGTTTCTTCCCTTCCCTCATGCCCCTTTATTCTGCCTCTGTATAGGTTTAATTTGTTGTGATTACAGATGTTATAAACTAGTTACACAGAAGCATTTCTCCGGGGTAGGCATCCACACTGACATCCTGGTACACAAAGTGGGGTGGAGAAATCCACCATCAGCCTTTGGGAGTCCTGTGGGTGAATTCTAGTGTACGTGTTCTCCAAATACTTTCGAAGTTAAGGGATGCCTCTGGAGAAAGTTTTTGGGTAACAGCTATTCTGTGTAGAACTTCAACCCCTTACATCACACCAGTGGGGATGGCTAATGCTCTAGGGAAGAGGCCCTATTTGACTTCTGTCTGGGTGTAGATGAGGTCTAGGTGCATGATCATCATAGCTCTCATATAAGGAGAAATAAGTTGTTTTTTACTGGCACTTGAACAAGACCACGCTTTTGTTACCAAATACAGTAGTAATGCTTCCAGACGAAGACCTTCAGGGTAATGGAACATGCTAGGAATATTTTCTCATTAAGAAAAACACCAGCAAAACTAACGTTTAGCATGTCAGTTAACTCTGACTTGGGAGTGCTTAGGAGCTCTTAGAGCACTCCACAGCTATCTTCCTCCAAGAACTTATTTATAAAAGCACACCAAAAAATTCTAAAAGTATGTCTATTACAGCTGAGAATAACAGTTTAACTACTGTAACTATTTATATGCAGGACCGAGGAAAATACTATCAGAAATGGGGCCATCAATCAAACTTTTCCTTGAATAGGAGTCTAATAGATAGCTCCCTGGAGCGTCCTCCAGCACACAGGCTCGCTGCTATGCAATAGCATTTGTTATGGCTGGCAGTTTTTCAAGGTTGGGTATATTAAACTAGATTCCTATGTCTATTTATATGCCAACATAGTGAAACAGCCTGTTTTCTTTTTTTTTTTCCTCCCCTCTCCTTCTCCAGAGCCGGTGAGCAACAGAAGTCAGTGGGTGCCTGTCTTTAAACAAAATTACTTTTGCTGAGGAACCTAAAACATAGACTTGGGCCTTAATGTCAGCATGACCTAGAATTTTAAGATGATGGCATGACATTGGAGAAAGAGGCTGTAAGATTCAGCCAGAAAGTAACCTGAAAGCAATTTAGCATGCTTAACAACTGGAAGTACCTCTCAGTGGAGATGGAGTAATGGCAAAAATTCCCTGTCCCATCCCATTTTCAATTTAAGTCCAAGAACAAACCCTTAAGTAGTCTAGCAGTTTCTCAGGATAGATAAAGCAAACAAAATACCTAGCCTCGTAGGTGGACTTTGGGCAGCTGTTACTGTGCAATGAACTGGACAAATCCCTGCTGGCCAGCAGTAGGGCACTTCTTGCAGGCCAGGGTGCTGCCTGCTGCCTCCTCAGGAGGTGACTGCCTAGCAGCCATATTACCAGCATTGAACATCTCCCAAATGTGAATAGTTTCTCACTTTTTTGCCTTTCCACATAGTAACTTGTATGACTTTTGCTTACATTTCTCAAATGGTGTTTTTACAGTGGTGGTGGCATGCTTGGATTTGCTTCTAGCTGTGCCATGAGGTACCGCACAGTCTCCTGTGGTTCTCCAGAAGGCCGGACCTGTGGTGTGAAGATGGTGCCCTGCTCCATTGGCCCTGCTGCTTTCACCATTGAATACTTGATGCTCAGGGTCCAAGGTACAGTCAAGCTGCACAGTCACTTGTCTCTAAGGATGAACTGACCTGCTTGACCGAAGCTTCAAGAACGTACTTGTTTTCAAGGGGCCTTTATGGGCTTTCTGGAGACTTTGGATACAGATGTTCTCCAAACATATGAAAAAACAGACCTCTCCAAGGCTCTAGCTTGGATAAAACTGACTGATATGCAAAGTGCTGAAGCTTGAAACAAGGCTGAGGTGAGTTTGAGTTTTGTAGGATTGCGATGAACAAGGTCTGGCCTGGTAGAACAGGAATGTAGTAGCTTTCCTAATTGCTTTGTCCTCTAAATGAGCACATCTCTTTCCAGATGAACTTTTAAAATGAGTATTTCAGGGTTCTGCCCTTCAGATTGGCTTTCACCCATGATCTATGCTTTTCCATGGGTGTGATATGTCATGTAGGATTTGCCCTAGTCCCAGGTGAAAGTCCATTTAAAACTTAATATTAAATCTGAATTTAATGCCCTACATTCTTATTCTTTCCATGGCAAAAACCTGGTAATGGCCCAAAAAAAATCCCAAGGGGATGAGCTCAGCTTTGTCATGATGCATGGATGTCGTCCTTACGGATCGGGAAGGAATGATCCAGTTGCTGGCATACGCCATGAGATACGCAGAGTCCAGCAGGTGAGCACCCCAGTTCTTCTGGCTTTTGTAACTCCCACATGAAAATCTGCAAACACCTGTGATGTGGTTTTAATTAATCCATAGGTATTTCAGTGCACGTCAGGAAACCGGGCAAGTTCCACAAAGAGAATTAGGAAAGCTGGGGGGCACCAGTAACCTTCTTTCCAGTAAATAGCAGACAAATCTGACGCCTCTGGGCAAAGCTCTCGTCATAAAGCACGTCAGAGGCCTGAACGTGGCCTAACTGAGGGGTTAACAGTGGCAATGTTAAACTACGTTGCTAAAAAGTCTTTTGGTACTTTCATCTGTTTCCTTTTCTTCCTCCCTTATTGTGCTTAGTTAGGGTAAGAGATAACTTTCTATTCATGTGGCAATAGCATAGACTTTTAAACTGTTTGAAAGCTTAACTTCAGAAGTAATGAATAATATGACTGAAATAGATGCGGACCAGTATCCCACCTTTGATTTTCTTTTTTTTTTTTTTTTTTTTTTTTTTTTTTTTTTAATGGGCATTACAATCCCTTTTGCCTTTGCTCACATTTTGCTAGCTACCCCTAGGAAATGAGAGCCAATTGTAAAATATGCTGGCATTGTGACTTTGTTCTTTGCTTTGTGCTGCAGCTGCCACTGGAGAATTGTAGCCCCATTAAAATCCATTATTTGACTTGAAGTCCTGGACTTCTGGTCTGAAAGAAATCTGTCTAATTGTCATGGCCAACTGATGGCGTACGAAGGATTTGGACTAACCAGAGTTAACGGGTGAGAGAGAGCTCACCTTAATGCTGGGGTGAGAGAAATGGAGGAGCTGAACTAAGTTTCTTTTGCAGACAGATGGGGATTTTTACATGGCATGCTTCCATGCTCCAGGAGGGATTTCTGATAATACTTGGAGCTACTTCAGCCAGCTTGGTATCTTTCCCTTCCCAAAAATACTGTTGCAATCAAATGTATTGGATGCGAGGTCCTAACCATGGCATGGCTGTGCCAGAGAACAAGGTGAGCCTCTCTGGGTTGCTCTTTCCCAGGCTTGAGCTTACAGCAGGACAACTCGCGTTGCATCCCCAAAGCTGTGTGCCCCCAAAGCTGTGTGCCCCCAAAGCTGTGTGCCCCCAAAGCTGTGTGCCCCCAAAGCTGTGTGCCGAAGGCAGCGGGTCAAAGCCGTGGGGCCAAGGGAAGGGAAGCTGTTCCTACTGCCCTGCTACGCCGGGGGAAGTACCTACCCACCCTGGCTAAGGAGCTATGGGCTTGGTTAGGTAGGATATTGCTGGGGAAATGAAGCTGCGCAAGCATCTTCTGTATTGGTGGGAGAAAGCATAGACTGGAAATTTAAACTGTTCAGGCACTCATGGATGGATACAAGGTTCTTCAGTGCCAGATGTGTTACTCTCAAAGTGACTTACTCCCCAGGGAACATGGGTGACCCACAGTCTCGTGGGCATTGTGTAGTACCTTGCACAAAAGAGCCTGAGGTGGGGGCTGCCTGTCAGAGCAGGGATTTCTTCTGACTGAAGAAGCCCAGGCAGTGGGCACTGGCCACTAGCAATTTGTAATTGTTATAATGGGTGTCTCTAGCTATTTTTCTGTAAACCATTGGGCTTACAAGTATAGCAAGCTATCTTCTGGACATGTCTGTAGTCCAGTACATGAATTCATAGAATCAGAATAGTTTAGGTTGGAAAAGACCTTCAAGATCATCGAGTCCAACCATTAACCTAACCCTGCCATCCCACCACTAAACCATGTCCCTAAGCACCTCATCTCCGCATCTTTTAAATACCTCCAGGGATGGGGACTCAACCGCTTCCCTGGGCAGCCCATTCCAATGCTTGACAACCCTTTCTGTGAAGAAATTTTTCCTAATGTCCAATCTGAACCTGCCTTGGCTCAACTTGAAGCCATTTCCTCTTGTCCTATCGCTTGTTACTTGGGAAAGAGGACTGACACCCAACTCGTTACAACCTCCTTTCAGGTTGTAGAGGGCGATAAGGTCTCCCCTCAGTCTCCTTTTTTCCAGGTGGAACAACCCCAGTTCCCTCAGCCGTTCCTCGTAAGCCTTGTGCTCCAGACCCCTCACCAGCTTTGTTGCTTTCCTCTGGACACGTTCAAAGCTGCATGCCAGCATCAAGAGGCTTTTAGAAAGGGAAATATTTTCTGATGCTGCATTTTGCAAGGCTTAGCCTTACAGCCCTCAAGAGAAAAAGAGGAAAGTGGAAGGCTCACTTCCCATCCTGCTCTATTTTGCAGGCAGCTTCTGTGGAGATGCTTCCCTCTACCCCATAAAATCTCAAGGTTCAGTGGTGACAGTGACCTTCATTTCCAAGGTTGAGGCAGCCATGAAAGGCTTTCTCCTGACTTACTCTGTTCAGGATATATTATCTGCTAAGTCTGTTAAGATTTTGGAGTGGAGGGTGGAGAAGTAGAGCATAAAGTATAGCTGTTACACCTTAAAAAAAAAAAAAAAAAGTGTTATTTAAGAACAAAAAAGCTTCCATGCTGTTTAGATGTTTTGTGAAGATGTTAAGCAACATATTAAACGGTCTCAGATCTGTCTGTTCTGAAGAGAAACGGCCATTAAGAATAAAAGATCTATTAGTGGTCTTGAGTGCTGATGATTAAATGCATAAGTAGTGATCTAAGCCCTATGCTCCCCTCTAGAAACCTCTGAAAAGGAGATAACTGACTTAGCTGTTGCTCTCTATACGCCCCTTTCCATTCCACTCTACAAAACCAGAATCCCCTGTCCCCATGGTCTGCCTGTCATCACTCCTATAATCTCTCTTCTGCTTCTTCACCTACTAGGCAGGTTAGCGCTGCTCCCTCCCCAAACCTCACCTCCACCGCGTGCCCAGAGTGCTACGCAGTTAATTGGGCTCTAAGCTCGAAGACCAAAGCAAACCTCCCTCTTGCTTCCCAGGCCAGGGTATGGCTGGTGACGTGGGGGGACAGTTTTCTCTGTGGATAGCGCTGCCCTGGCACCATTAAGCAAATTAGTACTTTGGTGCCTCAGATCAAAGAAACTTGGAGCTGGAGAGGTGTGTCCAGTCTGACTCTTCTGTTCTCTTGAAGCAAACTGTTTTGCATTTCTAGGGACTTAAGCCACATCTAATCTCCTTCCCCCATCCCCCTGTCTCTTGTCTTACCAATGCTCCTTGCTGCTCCTGTCCCCATCCCCCTGTCTCCTGTTTTACCAGTGCTCCTCAATGCTGTGCAGATGAGTACATCTGCTTGTTGGCATATCAGGCAAGTGCGTCGGGCTTCAGAAGTAAATTGCAGCGATTAAATTTCTTGTCTTAAAATTCATCAGACTTACAGCACAATCAACAGAGATCTGTCTGCCTTCTCATGTGTGCACACACGTTTCCAAGATGCGCTCCAAGCCCTAGCTCTGAAAAGCAGGAGGCGCCTTTCCCACTCGCCTTCAGCCTGGCTCTAAACTCCTCTTGGCTCAGGCTCCCCTCCCCAGAATAGACCCGTAACCTCCTCCGCATTTGCCCGCTTCAGGTAAGGCAGCACGTTCCTTTTAGGCCTGGAACATGGAAACATGAAGGCTGCTGACAAAGGTAAGACTGGTTTTAACTTTCCACAAAGCTGGTGAAAGGGAAGGAGCAAAAAGCCTATTTAAAAAAAACCCACCACCTCCCAAACCAAAAAAGAAACCCCAAAACACCCTTACCCTACCTCCTTTTATGCACGTTCTATACTTGTGGCTTGGGGGTTAACCTCTGCCACAGGTAGATGTGAACACTTGGGTATGAGACTGTCACCAGCAACATTAGCCATGTCAGTACTAATGTACTTTCTTAATTCGGCACATCTGTTTTGCTGTGTTCACTTTCAGTTCCTACTGCCAGAGCTCCTGTGTATGCTTGGAGAAATGAATGGCCACTTGAAGGGAAAAAAAAAAGCCAACAAACCAAAACCCCACCAAAAAATCCCAAACCTGAGCTAATTCCAACAATCTCAAATACACTGGAGCCAAGATCCTTGAGCCTGTCTCTGCGCTTTGTAGGAGGACTTGAGCTTTAGCTAGGTTGGCCAGCCTGCCTGAAGCATGTTCCCAGCTGCGCAGCCAGAGGGACCCTCAAGGTGGAAGTTTAAAAGCCTGGTCAAGCATCCGCATGTTTCCTCTTTCCAGCAGGGGCTCCTTCTCCTCTCTCTCATCACCCCAGGGACTACTTTGTCAGCCCTGCTCTGCCTACACCCCAGCAAACTGGGGTGCGATGGTAGCCAGTTCTATTTATGAGACTCCTGAAAACGATGCAGGCTATTCCACAAAAGCATGGAGTTAAAACATTAACGTGCCTACAACACAGCATTCTGCATTTTGACCAGCTTTGTGGCAACTATAAATGCAAGGCAAAAGAAACATCTATGTAAACACTTTAGGAGCGGCTAAAGAATATTTAAGTTTGGCCCATTAGGAAAGGTTACTCCAAGCGAGCCTGCATGTAGGGTCTCAGTGTCTGGCCTCTAGATCACTCTTCAGAGTTCAAGTAGTTTTCCAAGTCTGTAGCTCTTCTCCTAGTTAAACAGTTCTCTGTGTAAATGGCAGGTAGAACCTGTGCTTTGAAACTATGCGAACGTTCTCTTCAGCTAACAGCACTTAAAAGCCAACACTAAGATCTCTTCTTGCTCCAATAGTAATAGGCCTGCTTAAGGAAATTCATGCAGAAACCAGTTTTTCTTTGTGATATGATTGTTTTCTCTTTTTAAGAGTGCCCAGGCTTTGATCTAATTCCAGTTGGAGCCACTGAAATAACATCTCCCGATTACCCTGGCATTTACCCTGACATGCTGAACTGCTCTTGGACAATTTATTCTACTTCAAGAAATAAGCTGAAGGCTTACTTAAAGATTTTGTAACTGAGGATGCCAGGGATCATGTCTGGGATCATTTGAGTGTTTATGATGGGCCACATCTCTTTTCAAGGCTTCTGCGTAGGTTGAATTATATGTTCATTTACTGTCTTCCTTTTCTGACCCCTTTTATTGAATGAAGGTGACCAAATTCCCCTCGGCTGTGGGGGTGGGAGGCAGGGAGGAGGGCAACACTGATTAGTGCCTGCACAGCAGGACCGAGTGGCAGCAGGATTCTTGAGAGCTGCTGAGAGCAGCTCTTGTCACCCAGGGCTGCTCCAGAAAAAGTGGCTCGGACTCAGTAGCTCTTGACTTCCAGCATCATGGCTGTATCTGAGAGGATACTTCTATCAGTCCTTCTTTTAAAACCTTTCTTCCTTAACCCTTTGTGTCTTGGTACTTGTCTCACTCTGAAATAGTTTGAGCAGGTGCTGCTGTGAATACCAAAGCTGCCTTGTGCCATACGGATGTCAGGATCTTTGGGTACAAAAATGTTCACTGGAATGGCTTCATGCCTGCCTTCTTCTCCCGCTGTCTCCTTCCTTTCTCCTCCCAAGTAGGTAGACATTCAGAGACCTGATTATTGAAGTAAACTTGCTAAAGTATGGGTGATGCACTCCTATAGAGCATGAGAACAATTTGGCCATTGCACTAGGCTTGACCTCTTCAGCCTGGGTAGGGAATGGTAATGCATAGGCCACTAGAGAGGTACGTCTCGAAAGACCTCAGAGAAATCCTGGCATCCACTAATACCTTTCAGTATCAAAAAGCTTGGATTAAAAAGTCCATCCATGGAAATAAATATACAAGCTGTGTCTTGAACTACTCGGCAATCACAACAACTGCGGTTTTTTTCTTCTTCCCCCCCCACCAGCAAACTTATGTGGCCAGAAAATGTCTTTTAGC